GGGGGGGGGGGGGGGGGGGAAACCAGGGAGCAGGAGACTAGGCATGCATGTGGCTCTGTACAAGGGCCTAGATGTGGGCGTTAGGAATGCAGGTTCTTGTGGTGTGTTTTTATTTCCCCCCTCCCTCCTGCTCCTCTTTTTCTCCTTATAGCATAGGTGTCCTTCAGGAAGCAAAGGGAGGTACAAACGGAGTCTGGGTCAGTGGTTGTGACTTACTCGGATGTGTGGTTTGCATTCCTCCCAGAGGGCCAGGAGCACTTTATCTGCACCAAATGTAAGCTAGTGTGTGCTCTGGAGGAAAAGTTTCAAAGGATGGAAGCATGGCTATCCATGCTACATTTCAGGAAACAGGAAGATTACTGGAACAAGTGTTATGAGGGGCTGGTACTACCCTTTAGTTTCTCCAGTGAGAAGTGGCAACAGGTGACTACTCAAAGAAGGATGGTCCCCAGAATTGAAGAGGAGCAGACTGAAGCCAGCAATTGCTTTCAAGTTCTGTGGTGGAACTGCTGAGGAAGAGGCAGAGGGGATGACATCTGCAGGCATGAGGCACAAGAATCAGCTGCCTAGAGAACAGGAAGTGCAAGACCTCAAGGACAGGGGTTCTAGGCCCACTGCACCAAGAAGGAAGAGAAGAATGGTGGTGATGGGTGACCCCTTCTGCAGGGCAGACAGAGGCACCAATCTGTCATCCAGATTTGGGGGCTCAGGTGGTGTGCTGCCTGGCTGGAGCCTGAATTCAGAATGTCAGAGACTACCAAAGTTCATCCATCTTTACAACCACTACCCCTTCCTGCTCCACTTGTCCATGTAAACACCGAAAATCTCGCCAGGAATGACTATAAGCAGATCAGCGATGACTGTTAGGCTCTTGGCAGAAAAATTAAGGAGCTTGCAGCATAAGTGTTCTCATAGATTCTTTCCATGGATGGCAAAGATTCAGGCCATCGTATCTTGGAAGTGAATGCATGGCTGAGACGGTGGTGTCTATATGAAAGCTTCAGTTTCTTTGACAATGGGCAGGTGTTCTTGCAAGTATGACTGCTAGCAAAAGATAGGATCCATCTAATGCGAATGAGAAACAGCACCTTTGGGCATTGTCTCACCAACCTGGTAAGGAGATCTTTAAACTAGGTTCCATGGAAGATGGTGATCAAAAACCTCCACCAACAGAGCACACAGTCCAGGGGGAAAGGACTCTAAGCAATAGCTAGTAAAGTGCCACAGGGTTCTGTCCTGGGTCTGGTGCTGTTCAATGTGTTTATTACTTATTCGGATGCTGGTATAGAAAGCTTCTCAAGCAAGTTTGTAGATGACAAAACTGAGAAGGACTTCAAGCAAGTTGGAAGAAGCAAGTGCAATTTAGAAGGATCTCAATAGATTGGAAAGCTGGGCTGGAGCTAACAGGTTAAAATTCAGTGCAGACAAATACACCTCAGGAAGATTAATCAAAAAACACAAATAATGATAAAAAAAGTGTGTAACACCTGACTGCATGGCAGCAATCTAGAAAAAGGACTTGGGAGTCTCAGTAGACAGATTCAAAACGAGTCTGCAGTATGACACAATGCCGCACAAAAGTCAAATGCTGTTTTGGGATGCATCAATTGAAGCATTAGGTGCAAGACACATGAGGTGAAAGTGCCTCTCTACTCAGCACTGGTTAGGCCCAATATGGAGTATCATGTGCATTTCTGGGCTCCACATTTTTAAAAAGGATATGCGAAAAGTTAGAGAGGGTCTATAGGCAGGCATCAAGGTTGATAAAGGGCTTCAAAAGCAAGCCACGTGAGGAGAAGCTGAAGGAGCTAGGCATGTTTCGCCTGTGGAAAAGGCACTTACGCAGGGATTTGGTAGCAGTCTTCAAGTACCTGAAGGGCTGCCATAAAGAAGAGGGAAAGCACCTTTTTTTCACTCACTGCAAAGAGGAGGCAACAGACCAATGGCTTGAAGTTACAGCAAATTTAAGTTTAAATTGGATAGCAAGAAAAACCTTCTTCACTGTTAGAACAGTGAGGCAGTGGAAGGCTGCCTATGAAAGTTGTGGACCTCTCCATCACTGGAGGTGTTCAAGAAGAGTTTGGATAGTCACTAGTCAGGGATGATGTAGGTATAGTTATGCCTAATGTTCTATTATGAATCTATCCTGTGCTTCTGGCCTTTGCTGGCTGCCCTTGCCCCGACCTTTCTGCTACATGAGTCAGGGTGTTTTTAAGCCTTCCTCAGAGGCATTTGGTGTTGGCTATGGTCACAGCTGAGGTTTTTGACTGAGGTGTGCCAATGATCTTCCAGGAAGCAAAGCCTGGGGTCTCTTGAGCATATATTAAACAACCTTATAGAAGCAACACATTGGCTGCCATGGTTCTCCTGCTTTACCTGTGGCAGGTTAGGGTGTTATGTCTGGGTTGTGTCAGGCTGATAGTCTTATGTAGGGAGTTCAGGTTATGGACTGTATAGGATGGTTTGGATAGGGATGATCCTCCCTCAGGCAGGGGTTTGGACTAGATGACCATTGGAGGTCCCTACCAGCTCTGCTTCTCTATGATTCTGTGCTGGTCATCATATGTGCATGCTCCAGATAGACAGTCTACAAGCACAAGTCTGCTGTCAGATGGAGTTTCCATTGAACACACAAAACTTCAGTTCCAGCTGCTTTTAGTAGCAGTGAAGCAGGCTACCAAACAAAGGCATTACCAAGTAACAGGCAGCTAGTGGCTCAGATTCCAGGAGCTAGAAAACAGTGGTGCAGGGTGTTAGGCACTACTGATGCACTCAGGTAACATCAAGGCACCATGATAGCAAGAGGGGAAGTGGGAGTTTACTTTTATTCTGTACACACTAGGAAAGTGCTGCCTAAGAGGAACTGCTTTCAAGTTTTTGGGGTCAAATGGCAGCAAAAGGGAACATTGCAGAAGCTTCAAATCACCAGGAGGATGCAGTATAAAATATTGGTCTCTGTTTTATCTTATATATTCCTGCATCTTGCAACATCATTTTAACCCTCCAGAACACAGGTTAAAACATAGGCTTACCAGCATTAGAAAACTGGGTTATCTTAAGAACCTCCATGATCAGTGTAAACAAGGAAAACCCAAAGTTAGCACAGTATCCTCAGGTCATTACATACCTTGCAGAAGCTCAGGGATTCACTCAACTTTCAAATGACAAATGTTAAATATAGTAACAATTTTTCTATGCAGTTCTAACTACATCATCATCATCATCATATTAGTTAATATGACTTCAAGGTAGTTTTTATAATGACCAAGTTTCTAGCAAAGACAAGCCCCAACTTTGAAAAATTTAAACTTGGAAAAAAATCCCCAAAACCAAACAACAAACTATTTACATTCCTTTTCTTTCTATGCCAACAAGCAAAAGAGGTGGGGGGTCCAATGAGGTGCAAGAAGAGTATTGGTTCTCAAGTTCAATACTCAAGGAATTGTCCCATAGATGTAACATTTCATAAAGAACTATTTTTTTCCTTCAGTTGCAAAGGCTGGGACCAGGATTTAAACCTAAAAAAGTTCATCTCACTGGTGCTGAAAGTATTTAATTAATTATAGGGTAAGAGCACCCTAAAAAAAAAAAAAGTCATAAGATACTGAAGCTCTGGAAATAAAATAAAGCACACAAAAAATATTACTTGTAGAAGGTACTGGGTTACAATTTTCAGGAGCCTTTGGGGAACTTTGAAGCCATTGATTTAACAGAACTTGGGCATCTGGGACACAGTTTTACTGAATCTGTCCCTACAGAGGGAATAGAAAACTTTGAACCCAATCCTAAAACTTCAGGACTAAATCTTATGGACCCCAAAATCTTTGGTGAACAGGAAACCTATTTTACTGGTTAAAACTTGCTTATAGTTTTGATCTCCCCATTTCCTGGGGCTGTCTGGCTCCTGAAATTTTGACACACCTGGAGGTATTCAGCAATGGGATCTTAGTTTGCATTGTGGGGAACAAAAGGCAACCTAGAAATTTACCTTTAAAATTTAACTTTTTATAGCCGCACAAGCTCTTTTGTTTACCTTTATGGAAAATTCCTAAAATCCTGCCAGTGACAACAATTAAAAATAACTCCAAATCAACTCACATGTTCCATTTTGTCTTGTTTGTGACTCCTCACTGACAGCATCCTCTTGACCCATAATTATCTGTGGATACAAGTTATTTTGAAACGATTTCTCTTTAAAATATATACAAGTCAGAAATTATCCACAAAAGCCAAATTCTCCATCAAGAAATAGCTCTGGCAATACAGCAGTGAATAATGCCACCACACTCAACACAGCTCTCAGTGATTTTCTCCAGTCTATACTTGTTAATACTCTAGTTTGCTGCAAGAACAAAAAACACATGCAAGTATAGATCATATC